ACATAACACAGATTGTTGACTTGATGGTATATAACAGTATAAACAGTAACTATTTCTACATATTTATCAAGCATAAAATATTCAAAGATGCTAAAATACAAAATTGTATATGAGATTAATCTCACCAATCTCCTCTCTTAAAACAAGGTATAAAAGCAGCAGATCTGCACAGTGGCCTAGCATCAGATAAACTTGGCCTACTGTACCATTTCTACTTATCAGCTGGTACCCTAAAGCAAATACTTTAAGACCATGTATCTCCATTTTGTTTCTGTTAAACATGGGGAAAAAGGGTACTTATTTAGATTTTGTACATTTTTGTTGTTGTCAGGTGACACTGAGCCAACAACAACTCAAGTGATCCCATAAACAGATCTGAACCTTGCCCGATCCTGTACCATCTTCATGATCTCTGATATGCTCAAGGCCACTGTTACAGCCACAGTGTCAATTCATCTTGTTAAGGTCTTCCTATTTCTCTAGTGTCCTATCTTTCCCAGTATGAAATCTTTTTCAAAGGATTGGTCATTCATTGGCAACATACTCAAAGTACAGGAGATGAAATTCCACCATCCTTCCCTCTAAGGAGCACCTTGGTTACACTTCCTCTGGTTCCCAGATGTCTTAACTACAGACACATGGTCTTGAAAATCATCAATAGCTATAGGACTTGGATAAGAGAAAGAGTTTCTCACACTGGGCATCAAGACTTGAGGTGAGCAAGACATGTGGTGGCAAGACTTGAGGGAGACTGGAGTAAGACCCTGTTGATGGTGCTGGAGAGACTATAGCATTTCTGTGAAGAAACTGTGGCAAGTTGTGACCTGAGGCTTCTTATATTTGTGTTGGTCACTGTTAAAAATTTTTGTGTTCTTATGAACTCATAAGATCTCTTGAAAGAGCATGAGATCTTGCTTGAAAGAGAAGTTTATTTATAAATATTCTGTGGCAAACCTTGATGGATGATTTGAATTTGACTGATGAACTGAAACCAGAGCCTGGACTAATTGAAGAATTGTGCCTCAGAACTTGGGATAAAACCTAGATTTGCATTGGGTGATATTCTTTGCCTCCCCTACTCTCTAACTTACTTCCCTGATAAAGTCCATTCTCAGTACCACAACTATGAATCTGTGAGTCAATAATGAATAAATGAACCTCTTGCTGTTAGTGTGATTCTAGAAGCACCACAGGGCTGGACTACAGGCTCTTTATCACTCTCCACTCTGGAGTGGTGAGAGGCTATGTTATTCTCACTTCCAACGGCCCTTTTGGACAGATATTCATGGTGCTGTGCCCCCATGATCCATTTTCTGTTCCTTACACAGATCCCTTCACATACATTTACATACACATGTATACCTTCTTTTCAGAACACTAGGTTAAAATATTTGGAAAAACATTTTAGTTAGACTAACAACAAAAGGGCAACAAACACAGAATATCAGTAATAAGCAATAAACCTCAGAAAACACAATACATGCATCTTCACCTTGATACTTAGTAGAGGGAAACCCTCCATTCTGGCTGCTGGCCTCTCTATGCTGCAGAGTTCTCCTCACCCCCACTTCCTAGAAGTCACTAATTCCAGACTCCATGGAATTCAGAGCAAGAAAATAAGTCAAAACCAAAACCCCAGTTCATTCCACCTAAAGACTTCTCCTAGAGTTAATTCTAAAGACCTGACTCTCCTAATTATTTATACTAGGATGACCTCATACCTAAAAAGGCTTCTAACATACCATAATGAAACTTCAGTTAAACATTTAAACCTCAACCAAGTAACTGTTTCAATGTGGCATAGTAATTCTAATATAGTACGGGTGAGTGAGTGAAGATGGTTATTACTTTTTAAAGTCTGAGATTTGCAGTTTTTATCTATTAATGTAAACTCACTGTCATCAAGCTAGAATCAACTCCTAGACTGGCCCTCTAGTAGGTTTTTAAAGGCTGTAAAACCACACCTTAGAGCAAATGGAGGATTCGAATGGTCAGAAAGGTGCCACTTTTGAAGTAGTAGCAATCTAGCAAAGACCCTCTTTGATTACAACACACCATCTGCTCTGGTGGTCTCGTGGATTAGGAGTTGCACTGCTAGCCCAAAGGCAGATGATTCAAATTTACCAATTGCTCTGAGGGAGAAAGATGGACAATCTCCCCCCATGCAACTTATAGCCTCTGAAAACCCGCTAGAGGATCAGCTATGACTTAGTAGGTTTCAACTCAATGGCAATTAATTGAGTTGGTGGCAAAATGGTTAAGTACCTGGTTGCAACCAAAAGGCCAGCAGTTTGAATATAATAGCCACTGAGGGAAAAAGTTCTGATTTCTCCTGTTAAAGATTACAGTCTAGGAAGCACTATGGGGCAGTTCTCTATCACAAAGGGTTATTATGAATTAGAATCAACTCAATGGCACACAACTCTCTATTAATAATATAAAAAATAAAATTGAAAGGCATTCACATTCTTGGGAAATATGGTTTCTTACAATCAAAACAATTCACAGTTCTCAAATATGACCATTTATAATTAACTATGTGTAATTTGGATCAAATGTCATTACTTTTCAATGTGTCAAATCAATTCTTAAAAAGGTTTTTAAATTCAGTTGGGACACGATCAAAACATATTTTGGTTCTCATGGACTAGTATTCATTTTCTACAACTTCAATTTGAACTTGCTCATGAGTAGTTGATGGTCTGTTCCACAGTCAACCTCCAGTCTGGTTTTGACTGCTGAAACTGAGTATAAAGTTTCCATTTATGTTTTTTTAAAAAGTATTTTCAAAGAATAAATCATTCACTGTACAAAATTCTGTCATCAGATCTTCAGCTTCATTTCTGCCACCAGCTCCAAATTTTCCAATTTCAATTTCTTTGTTTCCTACTTCTGCATTCCAATCCCCAATAACTATTAATGCACTGCAACTTCATGTTCGAGCAACCTCAGACTATACAAGTTTGTAGGAATCTTCCACTTCTTTTTCATTAGCTTTCATAGTTGGTGCATATATTTGAATAATGGTTGCATTAAGAACACTTCCTTGC